TTGACAAATATGAACGACTGAAATCGGGGAAACAGTTCGATAGGAGGTAATCAATGAAGATGAGGTCAATTACTGTATACAAACATTTTTGTCATACCTTCCCACATGTCTGGAAAGTCTGTGTTCTGATTATAAATACACAGAAAATTTTCAAACGTAGGTCAAGTGATTTTTCATGTATTTAGAATTTTCACCAATTTTGTTCATAAGAGCGTGACCCAATCCCACGGCAGCGGGTTCTACGATACTGGATTGACCCGAAACAACAAGATCCCAGTTTCGGCCAGCGGCTGCCAACCCAGTATGTACATGTTTGTGTTTGTTTATTTTTCTGCATTGGGAGCAGCATATCCCGGAATGCTTGCTCCGGATTTTATTGGTCCGTGCCGGGATTGAGGAAAACCCCGGACCTTGGTTCTGCTCGGTTTGTCAGAACGTCATCCACCACAGATATGTTTCGGTGCGATATAATGGATGCAGAGAATGGGTGCACTTCAAGTACTGTTCCGGACTAAGGCGTTTGCGAGAATACAGCGAAAGGGATTATGTTGCGACTTGCTGCAGTAACGTAGTCCCCAGCGAGTCTACTTCTTCGTCGTCCTCATCTGAGACGTCGTCGGAGTATGGCACTCCACCGCAGTCTCCAGAACAGCAACCAACACCGCAGCACCTAACGCCACATGTTGCTGTTCCAACTCCGGATTGTGCAGCATTCTTGCAATTCAATTGCAACGGACTTCGAGGCAAAATAGATGAGATAGTGGAATTTATGAGTCGGAGGATTATTAAGATCGCAGCGGTGCAGGAAACCAAGCTGACTGAAAATTGCAGCTTACAACGTTGTTATGGTTACAACTTACTAAGGAAGGATCGCACCAGAAGTGGAGGTGGGGGATTAGCGTTCCTGTTACACCATTCTGTTCAGTACAGACCTATCTCGCTTGAGATAGTCTCTAGTGACCCATACATGGAATGTATGGGGGTAGCAGTCAAGTGTGGAACTGCCGAGGTAGAGGTGCTTAATGTGTATATCCCGCCGATTAATAGCTGTGAACCGCGTTATTTGCCTGATATTAGCCCATTATTGGTAGGCAATAACCGTCTGGTACTAGGGGATTTTAATGCCCACCATGAGTTGTGGCATTCCGTCCTAGGTAATGACCAGAGGGGATCAGCGCTGGCAGAGCAGATTGACTGCTCCAAATTCTGCACGGTTAACGAGGATGCCCCCACCCGAATAAGAGGAGAGTGGCACAGTTCGCCAGACTTAACCATAGTGTCACCCGGTCTGATAAATGACGTGACTTGGCAACCCGTCATTTCTCTTGGCTCAGACCATCTCATAACATCTGAATCAAACGAGCGTGATGATCTCCGTCGTACCAACTCTACTGATCCTAGAATCAGTGATTTGACAGTGGAAGTCAACCGGTTGGTAGAGGAGCATAAGAGGAAAAAGTGGCTAGACCATCTGAAGTGCTGCAACATTGGAACCGATATGAGTAAGCTGTGGGTAACGGTTAAGTCGCTCTCGAACCCTGGAAAAAAGGATGATAGGACCTCAGTCACTTTTAACGTCGTAACGGTGACTGATCCGAAGAGGTGCGCGGAATATTTTAATCGACAATTTGTCGAGCACCCCGAGAGCGATAGGGCGAAGCGAAGAGTACTACGTCGTATCAGATCTCTTCCCTCCGAGGAGGAACCACCACAGTTTACGATGGGTGATGTTGCAAATGTCATCCGTAACGCTAAGTCATCCAAAGCGTTGGGCCCAGACGGAATCTCAATGGTAATGTTGAAGCAGCTGGATACGTCGGGAGTCGAGTACTTAACTAAAATTCTCAATTTGTCGCCAGCCACCCACATAGTGCCCGAAACCTGGAAAATGGGCCGGGTGGTCTCGCTACTGAAGCCAGGCAAGGATGCCAGTAAAGGCGAATCGTACAGGCCGATTTCACTTTTGTCGCCAGTAGCAAAGACTCTTGAGGCTTTACTCCTCCCCAGCATTAGAGAAATCTATACAGTTGCCAACCACCAGCACGGATTCCGTCCACAACACAGTACCACAACAGCATTACACGCCATTTCCACACATAATAGTAGAGGACTGAATCAGAACAGGCCGTGTGACAGAACAGTGTTGGTAGCCCTTGACCTATCAAAGGCATTTGATACGGTCAATCATGCCACACTGTTCGAGGACGTGCAGAGAACTACCCTCCAGCCAAGTTTGAAACGTTGGATAATCAACTATATGTGTGGACGCCAGTCGTACGTGGAATTCCGGAACAAGAAGTCCAAAGCCCGTAGAGTGAAACAGGGAGTTTCCCAAGGTGGGGTGATATCTCCGGAACTGTTTAACCTCTACCTTTCCGGAATTCCTCGCCCTCCAGGCGGCATTGAGATCGTAACGTATGCGGATGATTGTACGATCATGGCGTCGGGTCCAGTGGTCGATGACATATGCGAAAGGTTGAACCCCTATCTCAAAGAGCTTGCCGCATACTTCCACGCGAGAAATATGAAAATATCCGCCACGAAATCAACGGCCACACTCTTCACCACATGGTCAGCGGAGATGAGAACACAGCTGAATGTTCAGGTCGAGGGGAATCTAATACCGACCACGAACTACCCCAAGATTCTTGGGGTCACATTCGACAGCATGTTCAAGTCGTCCGCGCAAGCCACAGCTATCTGCGACAAGATGAAAAGTAGGAACAAGGTCCTCAAGGCGCTAGCCGGCAGCTCTTGGGGTGCGGACAAAGAAACCCTGTTGACCTCTTATAACGCGATAGGTCGGTCTTTGGTCAGCTATGCGGCTCCAGTGTGGTCTGCGAATACTAGTGCTACGCAGTGGAAGCATATCCAGACCTCCCAGAACGCTGCCCTGAGAACTGCGACAGGGTGCCTCCCCATGACACCAGTGGACCATCTACATGAGGAGGCGAAAGTCCTTCCCTTACTTCAGCATAATCATATGCTTTCGTTGCAGTACCTGCTTGGGTGTTACCGTGAGAGTCATCCCAACCATCATATGGTGGATAAATCTCCCCCACCCAGGCGTGTCAGGAAGGACATACATGATCTAGAGAGGGAGGTCCAGCGCTATAAGAGAGAACCTCTAGATCAAGAAGCCTATCAGGCAGGTCTGAGTGGCATTCACACCGATGCAGTCGCGGATGCTATTAGCAGTTTTAAAGTGAATGCCGTCCTCGTAGTCCACCCCCCAATCATTGCAGCTGAAGAACGTCAGCTGCCTAGACAAACCAGGGTAGTTTTGGCGCAATTACGTTCAGGATGGTGTAGTCGCCTCAATTCGTATTGGGCACGAATTGATGAAGATGTGCGTGACGCCTGCCCGGCGTGCGATACAGTCGCCGAATTTCTAAACCTGGAGCTGGAACCAGATTAGCAGAACGCAAACACATATATGTACTACTGCTACAACAACAACTACCAGAACGTGACCTGTAAACATCTATACATTTTCGGATCCCTGGCATGGATTTTGACTTATTTTTTGGAATATCATTTTAAATTTAAGAATTTATGATGGTGGATCTGTAGGGGCAAATCAAGTGTATTTCTTTTATTTTATAATTAGAAACAATTATTATTGTAAAGCTGAAATGATTGTAGCAATATTTTTTACTGAACTGTTTTAATATGGTAATTGATGCTTTTATATTATATGATCACTTTTTGTTAAGCCTTAACCTCATAGTGAACCGTATTAAATGTTCGGCCTAACGCAATTTTTTCCTGTTCGAAAGAAAAAATGCTCTTTGTGTTTTTTTTTTCGAAGAGGCAACACGGAATCAACACAACACGGAATCCATGATTTTTTTTTTTTAATGGATATTATAATATTATAATATGTAATTTCAAAAATTGGTAATAAATAAAAGATATTGAGTCAATGATAGAGCATGAAATTATTTCCGGTGTCATCTTGACTCAAATAAGCTCTAAGAAAAGTGAAGTTGTAGAAAGAAGTTGTACACAAAGTTGTATCGTTTGAGGCCGAAGCAAACAGCTTGGCTACCCTCCAAGTAGTGCCAACTGTTGTATCGTGTGTGTGGATTGATTTATAACTAAACGTAAAAATAATTTTTTATAATGACAGCTAAATTAGACGTCAACCTTTTTTTTAATATTGGTATGAAAGAAGTTGTATACAAAGTTGTATCGTTTGAGGCCGAAGCAAATAGCTTGGCTACCCTCCAAGTAGTGCCAACTGTTGTATCGTGTGTGTGGATTGCATTATAACTAAACGTAAAAATAATTTTTTATAATGACAGCTAAAGTAGACGTCAACCTTTTTTTTAATATTGGTACGTAAAAATATTTTTTTATAATGACAGCTAAATTAGACGTCAACCTTTTTTTTATATTGGTATGTTTGGATAACGTGCATTTTGGAAGTTATAAATTACCACAAATTAAAAAAAAAGTTAAATAAATACATTAAAATATTATTAGTCGACAAAAAAACTTATGTTAGGGTGTTTATCCACTATAAGGTACATTTAGAAACCTAAGTCCCTTCAGGCATACCCACTTTGCCTAAGAAACATGTCATACCGACAATTAGAAAGTGGTACCGATATTAGCAAAACTACATTATGTTCCTTATATTGGAAATTTTATCATTTGAATAAAAACTTATTTAAATTGTGCTTCATTCATCTAAAATTATACAGAATTCCAAAAAATAACAACATTGAATGTAATAACACATTTACACTCGAAACAGTGGAATTTGGATATGACTAAATCCTTAAAGTGCTGACTACTGGTGTACTTACACTATACACAATTTACTCAATATGCATTGGTATATTTTTTATATTTGGTTGTTGCAAAATGGTCAGGCTTAATCCCATGATTGCTAAATTATTGATCAATTTTATATTTTTAACTTTTTAAATATTTCCTTTACGAGCTCTTATTTATGTTAGTAATTATATATTTTATAAATGTTTTATTTTCAGCGGAGCCATTGCCGTTAATGGATCTATGTAGAAGAACCATTCGACAGGAACTTGGACGTGTCCATTTAGAAGAACGAGTTCAACAATTACATCTGCCTCACTCAATGAAGACATATTTGCTGTATCAAAATCGTAGATAATATTTTTTTCTTCAATACTTATATAGCTTAAAAAATGACACAATGCATATATTTTTTAAAAATACTCATGTTTTTTCTTTATGTAATATATTTAAGATATGCTAATTTATGTAAATTTAGACTTGTAAATTGCCAACAATATACAGATATTTTGTTTAAGATTGAAATAGTTTATGCTAAGTTCAATTTCAATGTTTGCAGAAAAGTATCGATATAACGAAGTCAATAAATAACATAGGTAAAAATAAAAGCTCATATGTATATTTTGGGGTCTGAAACATGTGCCGATATCCATATTGCTAGAATTGTATCCAATACATCGAGTTTTTTTAAGCTTGAGGTTAGTGGTAATCTTTATTTAATTTTCAATGTTTAACTAATTAGTTGTTGTAACACTTCTTCTTGTTTAGTTTACCATCTCAAAAGAGATGCCAACATTCCTTTTTTTATTATAAAGTAAATTAAATTTAATTTATAAAAGGAATCCCAGCTACGAATTATATTTCGAAATTGTGTAACATTGTAGCAGATGATGAAATATGTGTTACATGTTGATTCTATTTTCATCAATGACATGTTAAGTCATTGATACTATAATAAATAGTGAAAGTCGTTGATACTATAATAAATAATGATGGTGTTCGATGATGTTGTGTTCAACGTAGAAAATTCTCTACGGACCTTCATAATCTTGTAGTTTAATTGACATTAATGAAAAGAGAACGTTCACCTTTATCATCGCGATTTGAGATATTCTCTACACGATTTCAGAAACACAAAGAACTAGATCAATTGGTCTATTTCTGTTCAGAAACACAAAAGAGCTGCGAAAAAAGCGCCACATAAGGAAATGCCTAGTCCCAAACCATAGTTTCCAGGGAAACACTGTATCACAACCTGTTTCTGTTAATATCCCTGATACTACTAAGACCGTGTGTGGACAGTCTTATGTGAGTGTTGTGACACACCCAGTTCCGGATGATTCCGGAATGTCTTGAGTAGATTTTCAGAAACTGCACTAACATTACTCATAACCTCAGAGTTCTTCTCGTGAATTGCCAGAACTGGGTGTGTCACAATGCTCACATAGGATTGTCTACACACGGTCTTAGTTGTATCAGAAATACATCTGGCCTGCCTCCTACATCTGGCCTGCCGAGCTGCTACTGTCCGTAGTGGTAAATCTCAACCTGTACAAAGGCCATTATCTATGGCTCCTGTCATGAAGATGGTATTTGCATCCAGGTTTCCAGCAAAAGTATAACGATAAAGACTACATTTCTCCTACCGGGTTAATGTAGACCTCTGTGAGTCTTCATCATCTTCGTCGCAGTACAAGATGCCACCACATCAATTTATGCAGAAATTGACACCACACATTGCTGTTTAAGTTCAGGATGGATTGCACCAGGATGTTAAAAGTCTGTGCCACGCGTTATAGTTATAGGTGTTTCCGGGATATCATCAAAGGTGGCGAAGACAAGTGAAGCATTTGCCAACGCAGTACCAGATCGAGTAAATTGTGGGTCACGAAGATGCAATTGTAGATCGGACATATTTTTATACCCTCCACCGTACTATGGAGGGTATATTAACTTTGTCATTCCGTCTGTAACTCCTCGAAATACTTATGCCAGACCCAGCGTAAAATTCTAAGTCGATTCTAAGTCCGCCTGTCTGTCCGTCCGTCTGTAATTACGCTAGCGTTCGAATGAATTGAGATAGGAGGCTAAAATTTTGCACACATGTTTATTTTTCCAGTAGGCAGGTTAAGTTCGTAAATGGGCCATGTAGGTCCACGTCTTCGTATAGCCCCTATATAACGGTACCTCCCTATATTCGGTATTTTGATGATTTTAGCGACATTATTAAAAGGATTTGTTTCAAATTTGGTATTTGAAGTTCGAAATGGATACTTCTTCGTATAGCCCCCATATAACGGTACCTCCCTATATTCGGTATTTTGATGATTTTAGCGTCATTATTCACCGGAATTGTTTCAAATTACGTATTTCGAGTTCGTAATGGGAACTACAGTCTGTGACAGAAAATTGTGTATGCAGGTCCAGGTCTTCGTGCAAGCCCCACATACCAGTACCTCCTTATATTCGGTACGAGTTTAGGTGCAATGCCCACCGAAATTGTTTGAGACGCGTATTTGAAGTTCGTAATGAATGCTACAGCCTATGGCAGAATGATTATGATGATTTTTGCTAAAATATTTACCGTTTATTTCAAGTTTCGAATTTGAATATGGTAATGACTTATGATAAACAATGCCCATGTAGGTCCACGTCGTATAGACACCAATATAACGGCTATATTCGGTATTTTTAAAATGTTAACAAATTTTTTAAGGATTTTATCTTCAAATTCGTTCCAAATGGTGGAGGGTATTCAAAGTTCGGCCCGGCCGAACTTACTGCTTTTTAACTTGTTCATTTAACGGTGGAGAGGTGACAGATCGGAAGAGGTGAGCAAGTTTTTTAGTTGACAATTCATAAAGAACCCCGAAAGTGGCACGACTAAGATAAGACTCTATGCCGAGTACAATCTCTCCTAGCCAAGGATGTACAACCACAACTTACAATGGAAAATGTTTCACATGTGGCAGAAGACCTGCCGGAATTTCTGTGCTGGTTTAATGTAACTGGATGAACCAGGAGTTCAGAATCTTACAGAACTTCACTTGTCGCTAGCCACCCTAACAGTTTCCGATACCTGGAAATGGGCAGAGAGTCCCGCTACTGAAGCCAGGTAACGACGCCAGCCGATTTCATTTTTGTCGCCAAAGCAAAGGCGATTAAGACACGTGTGTCGTCAACTAGGTGCGTGGATGCCAGTCGTATGTGGAATTACGAAACAAGAAGTCGAGTAACATTGTTGCAGATGATGAACTATGTGTTACACGTTGTTTATGTCTTCATCAATGGCATATTAAGTAAGTTTGTATAATGCGAAAGTTGTTGATACTATAAGAAATAATGTTGGTGTTCGATGATGTTGTGTTCAACATAGAAAATTCTCTACGGACTTTCATAATCTTATAGTTTAATTGACATTAATGAAAAGAGAACGTTCACCTTTATCATCGCGATTTGAGATATTCTCTACACGATTTCAGAAGCACAAAGAACTAGATCAATTGGTCTATTTCTGTCCAGAAACACAAAAGAGGAAGGAAATGCCTAGTCCCAAACCATAGTTTCTAGGGAAACACTGTATCACAACCTGTTTCTGTTAATATCCCTGATACTACTAAGAGCGTGTGTGGACAGTCTTATGTGAGTGTTGTGACACACCCAGTTCCGGATGATTCCGGAATGTCTTGAGTACATTTTCAGAAACTCCCCTAACATTACTCATAACCTCAGAGTTCTTCTCGTTAATTGCCAGAACTGGGTGTGTCACAACACTCACATAGGATTGTCTACACACGGTCTTAGTTGTATCAGAAATATCCTACATCTGGCCTGCCGAGCTGCTACTGTCCGTAGTGGTAAATCTCAACCTGTACAAAGGCCATTATCTATGGCTCCTGTCATGAAGATGGTATTTGCGTCCAGGTTTGCACCGTTTGCATCAAAAATTGAAAGAAGATTTTTCAAAATTGTGGTACCAGAAAATGTTTGCCCTATAAATTTTAAAAGAATTTTGGTCTGATAGGGCATTTATTCAAGAATTTCAGGTGTGTTAAATAAGAACGTATATTTTCAATAAGTGTGTACAACAGAATGAATTCATTTATTTTCAATATTCATTGACGTTAAGTAAGAAATGGCAAAGGTAACTTTGATTATAAAATTACATTAAATGTTTTAAGACTAAAGTAGTAATTGTTGTGAGTATATGTAATGCTTATGCATTACATATACATACAACATCTCCCTTTTACACATGAACAATTATTATATAACATAATATATTATATTTAATGTTAATGATAAAATTTAGTATTCTTCATAAAACCTTTTTGGCTTCTTAACCTACCTACCTCTTTTCGTTACATATGTTTCCTCATTTTCTTTGCTATTATTATTTTCCAATAAAAGTTCATCCCTACTGATATCATCATGAACAAGATTTTTATCTACTTCGTTAGTTACTGATCTATGGTTGCATACATTTATTTGCTCTTTCGATTCCTCCAAAGCTCTCTTACTGATGTACTCCCGACTTCTCCTATACATAGAACCATTCTCATCTAAAACTACAAAAGACCTTGGTTCTTTGCACGTTTCTATAATTTGCCCAGGTTGCCAATAGCTGGATGGGGTTTACTTAAACATGACCTTATCGCCTTCACCAACTGGCTCTAAAAACTTTGACTTTTTATTATAGTATTCTGAAGTTTTCTTTAAGTTTGTCTCTATTTTTGTCCTATATTCATTTTTGTCAACTACTTTTGGCTCGTGATGAATTAACATTGATGGAATTTTAGTGCGTAAGGACCTAGACATAAGCAATTCAGAAGGACTAGGCATATTACCTTTTGGCGTTGTTCTATAGTGCAATAAAGCAACATAGGGATCAGAATTACTCTCGGACGATTTTAATAACATTTTCTTGACTGTCTGCTTTTTCAAGGCCTTGGTCTTTTGCAAAAGGAATGCAAAGACCGTTCTGCTAAGCCATTAGATCTTGGTAAAAATGGACTTGATGTGACATGTTCAATTTTCCACTCGCGACAAAAAACTTTAAATTCCTTTGAACTAAAAGGCGGACCATTGTCTGACACAAAGATGTTAGGAATTCCATGTCGTGGAAATAAGGATTTTAACTTAGTAATCACGTTCTTACTATTATAGCCATTATTAAGATATTCGACTTCTATATACTTTGAATAATAATCGACAACAAGTATATACATTCTGTTTTTGTGGTTTATCAAATAATGTCACTAATGGCTTATGATCTGTTTCTACCATTACCTTATTCCCATAAATGTACTGATGAAACTTTGTACAGCCAAATAAAATAGCGAACAACTCTTTTTCAATTTGTGCATACTTTTGTTGGCACTCAGTTAAAGATGCTGATGCATATGCAATCGGTCTTCCTTCCTGCATAATTGTGGCGCCTAATGCCGATTTCGAAGCATCCACCGATAACACTAAATCTTTATTGGGTTTGAAATAAGTAAGGACCGGCGCTTTCGTAATCTCGTTTTTTAAATCGTTAAACTCTTTTTCATGATGATCTGACCAATGCCATAAGACGTCATTTCGTAAAAGTTCCCTAAGATGCTTG